GGGGGGCCAGACCGGAGACTCGGCCCCGGTGTCGCCTCCAGCCACCTCTGCTTCCTGCAGGGCCTCACGAGGTCCAGGGACTGCGGCCTGGGCACTCGGGAACGCACAGGCAGGGCACCTGCTTTGGGGAGGGCCTTTGCTGGGGAGAACGCTGTCGGGCCACTTACGAGTTTTTCTCCGACAGCAAGGTCGGGGTCCTGCCCTGCCCGCCCCTGCCCCCTTTGCCCCAATGCCCTCGCGCCTTCTTGGGCCAAACTGCACTCTCAGGACCTCCACAGGGACAACACTGGCCCTGGGGGTGGGACAGAAGCTGGCTCTTGGTGGGGAGGGGGATTCTGCTCTTCGTAAGCCCAGATATACACGCAGGACACCAGCAGAGACACAGTGTATCACAGTAGTAAAAATTCATGAGGGGGAGGGGCGATCAGGAAAAAAATCTATAATAATAAATAAAATGTAAAACAGTAAGTATAAATAAAACAAAGATGATAACATAGACAATCAGATATAAGGCTTTAAGGTGAGAAACACCAGCCCAGCCCAGCCCATTCCCACCATCCTCCAGGAATCAGCCCGGTCCCCCTCCTGCAGGAAGCCTTCCAGGGTCCCAGCCTCGGCTCAGGCCTGCTGTGCCCCCTGGGACCTGGGCTTCGGCCCTCGGTAGAGCCCAGCACACTGCCCGGCAAGAGCCAGCCTCTGGAAGGACTCCGAGTCACGTGGAAGTGACTCTGAGGACCACAAGTGAGGGGAACCATATCCATCAGCACATTCTGCTGCGGCTCCCCTGAGCTTGTCCTGCCGTGGGAGCTGGCCTCTCACCCGTCCAAGCATCCGGCCGCCGTGCTCGCGTTCAGCGAGTCCCCGAGGAAGTGACGCCACCGGGGGAGCAGTTCCCCGCCCTGTGCGGCACGCTGCCCAGCCAGGGAGGCGAGCTGGCAGCAGGGAGCCTCACCTCGGTAGAGCAGGGCCGTGTGCCGGCTCAGCGACCACAGGGCATACAGGGCGCTGAGTCGCTGCAGCACGGCACGCAGTGGCGACGGCACTCCGGGCTGGTGTGTGTACTGATGGAACCGCTGCACCACCGTGAGCTCCATGAAGGCCAGCGCCAAGGGGCGGCAGTGGAACACCTGCGACAAGGATAGCGCCGGCCGTGAGGTGGCGGGAGTTGCACCGCTGCTCAGACTTGTGTGGGTGGGGGAGGGGGGAGGACTCTCTGGAGACACGGACCCGGCCCGCAAGCCAGTGCACATCCTGAGAGGGCAAAGACACATGGTAGGACCTCGTGGGGGGGTGGGGCGGCCCAGGAAACGTCTTTCTAGAACACAGTGGAAAAGGCCTGTCACAGGCAAAGCCCGGGTTGGTGCAGCCTCGGGCACCGATGCACTCCAAGGTCTCAGGACACCTGTGGCTGCCCTCAGCTCAGCTCCCATCGAGAACGCAGGGAAACACGGGCATCAAGAGCACAGGGCCCGGGTACGGGCCCAGGAATGCTGCTATGGCTACAGCGTGTGGCACCCACCAGGACGAGGCCCCTGGGGTCTATCACCTGCTCCCCCCAGTCCTGAAAGAACACTCAGGAGCTCAGAAAGTGCTTAACCAGCTCCTCCCTGCTCAGCTGTCAGTGGTTCAGGGCTGAATGTCCCCACAGAATGCATGGGGCACCCAAAGACGGACTTGGCAGCCCCACTGCCCCCAAAAGCTGCAGCACAGGACAGTGGGCTGGGGCCGTGCTCGGGGCGACCTTGTTTCTGCCAGGCTGACCCTCAGCCTGAAGGGACTCTCCCTCGTAGGACCCCCTTCCTTCCTGGGGGGCTCTCTGCCAGCTATGGGTTTCCCCATGTGGGGTGTGTCTTCTGGTTTTGTTCACAGGGTCTCTCACTATCCAGAAATGCTGAATCCGCAGTCAAATCTGACTATCTTTCTCGGATTCTGGGTTCCCTGTCTTACTCTAGAAGGCTTGTCCCCCCCTGAGGGCACATCAACAGCCTCCGAGGTTTTCTTCGCATGCTATGGGAAGGGACTGTGTCCTCTAGTCCAGCCCAGAGCCACGAGAGCTTTCGGCTGTCAGAAGTGTTCCTCGCTCCAAAGTGCTCCCTGATCCACGGCAGGTCTGGGACACAAACTTGCTCTGGGCCATTGCCTTCCCATCAACGCCTCACTGCGGCCTTCCTGCCCCGGGCACTGGTGCTCTGGACAGCTGCACCGTGGCTGTGCCTGAGGGTGTCGGCATCTCCACAGCTCTCCCCAGGGATGCTCATCTCAGCTGGACCCAGAACCCAGGCCCCTCCTGCCCTCCTCTGCCGTGGGCTCACTGCAATGCCAATCTTTCACCAAGTTCTCTAATGAAGATCGGAGGCGAGTCACTTCTCAATGACTGAGTGACATTTGGGGCATTGTGAGGTCACAAGCACCGAAGCCCGCACAGACCGGGCTGGAAGGGGGTGCTGAGGGGACCTCCCGGCAGTTCTGAGGGGTCCAGCCGTCATTAGGAGCCCCTCTGTGCCCTCCATGTCTCCAGGGTCTTCATTTATAACTTGGGGGCATCTCGATTTCCGTCTTAGAACCGCGGTTTGACCTGCAGCGGGAGGAACAGCAGAGCTAACGGGCATCCGTTGGTTTCGGAATGGTCAACCTGCTACGCCCAGTCAAGGTGGGCGCAGAAGGCAGCCCCCTGCAGAAGGGCCACCATGGTTTTGGTCACCATGGCCCTACGCTAAAGGTTTTACTGACTGTGGCCATACGCTGAATTCACTTTTTTTCTTTGAGTCGGGGTCTCGCTCTGTCACCCAGGCTGGAGTGTCACGCCATGATCACAGCTCACCGCAGCCTTGACCTCCAGGGCTCAGGTGATCCTCCCGCCTCAGCCTCCCAAGTAGATGGGACTATAGGTGTGTGCCACCACGCTCCATTAAGTTTTTAATGTTCTGTAGAGACGAGGTCTCACTATGTTGCCAGGCTGGTCCCGAACTCCTGGGCTCAAGCGATCTTCTCACCTTGGCCTCCCAAAGTGCTGGAATTACAGGTGTGAGCCACTGTGCCCTGTCCTGAATTCATTTCTTGTAAGCCACAGCTTCAAGGTTTCTCTGAGCTTGGCAGGAGCCTGTGAGGTCCAGAGTGCAGCCCTCTTCCCCTCCCTCCCTCTCTCCTTCCTTCCTTCCTTCTCTCCTCATCCCAGGCCAGGCTCCACAAGTTCCACGGGTTCCTAAAGACAGTGGCCAAGGGGACGCAGGCTGTGGGGTCCAGGCCTCCATGGAGACAGGCAGACACGGAGCTGGGTCCGGGGGGCTTCTCTGAGACTGACCCGGAACCTCACGACTGATGCCAGGGAGAAGGGGGGGCACCTGTCTCAGCGTCCCCACACTTTCCTTATCACGGGCTCCTGACACGACACCCGCCCTGCAGACATGTGGGACTGAACTGGACTCAAAAGCAACTAGACAGGCAGCACGAGGAAGCATCTGGTGGCGGCAGAGTCCCGGAACATGAGAGATGGCACCGTCCGAGGGCGAGAACCCAAGCGCCTTCCAAGGCCCATCAGGAGGCACCTTGGCCCTCAGCGAAGGCGATAACGACCTGAGAAAAACCAGCACAGGGTGCTGGCCCTGCCAGCCCGTGAGTCAGGAGGGGGCTCTCTGCATCCCCCGGCGGTGACTGGCCCCACGGCGCCTCCACAGCTGTCACAACTTGACGTTCCCCGCTCTGGCCCACGGGTCAGAGACCATCAGACACGGCACGTCACACCCACGGCTCGTCCCAGCTCAGCACGGCAGGAGCCGCCTCCCGTGTGATGGAGGAGCAGAGCCAGCTGCAGAGGACCAGCGGGCTGCCCACAGGCCCGGGAGCCCGAGGGCCGGGTGGCCGCCACCAGCACACTCAGCTTCCGGGGACACCACAGCAGAGGAAGGAAGGGCAAATAGCACAAAAGGCGGTTTCAACAACACACATATACCTGGCAGCTGTTCCTTGCTTCAAAGTCACTGCCTCCTGATTGTCTCTCTTGATTTAATTTCTGAGAACTCTCTCGGAGCAGGTAGCAAACCAGCCACTTGTACGCTGCCAGGGGGACTTCAAAACGAGAAACAGAAGAAAAAGAGTCACGACAGAGCATCTGACACCCGTCACAGTCACCCAGGACAGCTGGCCTGCAAGCCGCCTGCAAATGTCATGTCCTCTTCAAGACCAGTGCATAGGCGAGACAGTGTTCAGGCAGGGGTGGACATGGGTGACGGATGTCCTGGCTCGGCCACAAGGCTGCCTGAGACCCACATTATTCCAGCAACCACGGAGCCCCCCTGGAGCCAGCACCTCACACAGGATGAGCAACACGGTTCTGCTCACGTGGCCGGCTCAGTCCGCCTCAGTGTCTGCTGGCCTCAGGGCAATGCCCAGAGATGGTGGCAAGCAGTAAGAGGAGCGTGCCTCTGTCCACCTCTCCCGGTCCGACCCTCAGACCTGCAGGGGAACTGGGGAGTTGCGTGTTGGCACCGGGTCTCCCGAGGCCTCACCCCACACACGGATCTCCCCACAAGGCAGGGAGAGGCACTGCAGATGGGGATGGCTGCGGCAGGGGCGGCAGGACAGCTGGGGCCCCCTTCCTGCTCCCGTCCCCCAGGCCATGGTGTCCACATCTGGTGGTCCCCCCGACCCACATTACAACTTAGCTAGATCTGACTTCCTATAGCGCCTCGCACAGGCCCGGCGCCATTCCAAGATCCTGGCAGCTGTGCTGTTACCACTGGGCGCCAGGAGGCCCCGGGCATGCAAGGCTGAGGCCACACTCTCACACTTGCTCCTGGGCACAGAGCTGTCTGACAGCTGCTTGTGGCTCAGAGCACCCAGGGAGGAGAAGAGGGACCAGTCACATTGGGTCTGGGCCCAAAGGGTGGGTTAAGGGGGTCGCGGGATTTCTTCTGCCACAGGACCCAGTCCCCAGTCCCTGGGAAGAAAATACCCAACGTCTGTGGGTTTCTACCACTGCATACCCGATTGTTGCTCGGCTGTTACATCTGCTCATCCTTACAGCTCAACTGAGAAGCCCACCAGGAACCGAACAAAACCATTTCTCAGGCTCAGAGACGGCAAGCAACTTGCCCAACTTCACACAGCTGCCAGGAGGGAGAGCAGGGGTGGAAACGCAGGCTTCTCTGACTCCCTTGCTGGGGTGAAGTCAGAGGCTTCCGCTACACGGGTGCTCACAGGGTACAGAGCGAGACGCCCCTCCCAGGCCTGCCAGGGCCGGGCGATGGGTGATGGGCCCCTCAGGAGCTGTCCACCCCTGACCCCGGAAGCAAGGAATGTGACCCTATCCAGGAGGAGGGTCTTTCCAGATGCGGTTAAGGTATCCAGGCGAGTTCACCCCGGACGAGGGTAAGCCCTAAATCCAATGGCAAGTGTCCTTACAAGAGGCAGAGCAGGAAGCTGCGTGATGGAGACAGAGGCTGGAGTGACGCATCACAGCCAAGGACGCCCAGAGTTGCCAGGGGCTGGAGGAGGCAGGATGCGCCCTCCCCTTGCGGGCTGGGGGCATGGGCCTACCAACGCTTGGATTGGAGACTTCTGCCTCTGAGCTACGAGAGTAACTGTCTACTTTGTCACTGCGGGTGCCCAGTGATCTTCCTTGAGCCCTACACGCTGCCCTTCTGGACGTGACCTAAAAATCCATGTTGGCTTTAGAGCCCACAGAGGTGAGAGGCCCGAGACACAACTGCCCTTCGAGTCTCCAGGACTCTGAGCGTCCCGAGTTCCGTCCGACAGATGGACGTCACGGACAGCAGTGAGAGGCAGACGCGGCAGAGTTGTGTTTTCCGCGGTTTGTTTACATGGCAACCAAACCAAGGAGACGGCCCAGGCCAGAGACGGCAGCGTGAATTCCTTCTGACCACAGCAGAGGCCCCTGGGTCCCACGATGCATCGGCCACGACTGGATGTCGCTCCAGCCCGTCCAGGTCGTTTCCAAACACTGCCTGTGCAGTGGCGCCTCCCGCCTTGTCTGGGTTTCCCCACAATTTCCCGAGTTCGCCCACGGAGCTGGGTACCCACAACCAGCTCTGATCCTGCCTTGTGCCCAAGAGGAGCCACACGCCGGATGAGCAAGCTGTGTTCGCGTGATGTCGTTCTTCGGAAACTCCACTTCCACTCCTTAAATTTCCACACACACACACACAAAACACACATCACGCTGTTCTGCTGTGTTCGTGTGGAGCGAGCAGAGCCCCCAGCAAGCACGTGGAAGCCGCACAAGCGGCGACGGAAGGTGGGCATCCCAGGTCATTTGCAGGGCTCGTGTCAAAGTCAACAATTACCGGTGACACAAACGGGGCGGGACCGCTGGCAGCATCTGGCTGTGAATTCTGCTGGGAACAGGCTGCAGACAGCCCAAGAGCAGACTCGCCGTCTCACCAGCCTCCGTCCTCAAGCCTTTCCTGGGATCCTGGGCCGCAAGGGGTCCTTCGACGCGCCCCACAGCGGGACCCGGGCTCTCTGGCACCCCCGCTGGCCGGAATCGTGCCCTCTCAGCCCCGAGTTCCCTGTTCCTGGCTCTGGTCCCTCCTTGGTGCTGCGCTGCCTGCCCCCAGCCACCCGCGCTGGTCCCCCTCCAGCCACTCCAGGATGCCATTCCTGCTCCTCGTTCCAGGGCCTCTGACAGCACGACCAGACACGTCAAGCCCGAAACCTGGTGCCACCAGTGCCCTCCCCTCCAGTCCCAGGTTGGAAGGCAGCGGGGGACTTCCCTCTGACACAGCCTTCACGTCATGGGCCACTCGAGACCGTCCCGTCGCCCTCTGGACCGACTCCCCCACCGCCATGGCCGGCCCTCCCATGCTGGCTGCCTCTGCCCGGATCTGTGTCCTCACCCACATCCCTCAGCCCAGCCCCCCACAACCAGGGTGCTCCCGGCATGGGCTCTGAGACCCACCCCAGACAGTAAGCCTTGGACAGCGACCCCAACTCCTCCCCAATGGCTGGCGGCGACCCAGGTGTACCACACGGATGCCCCAAGACCCACCACGAGGCCGCTTCTCTGGGGAACACCGCTTGGTCCACACACTCAGACCTCAGGGCTTCTCGCATGCACAAGGGAGTGCTCAGGACGGCACCTCCACCACACAGTGGGCCCCACCAAGGCCATGGCACAGGCCAGGCCCTACCAGGTGATGCAAGCCCAGCTCAAGGTCACCCCACCAGGGGCCGGTGCTGACCCCAGAACCCGAGCTCCCGCCTCAGGGGACACCGTGCCACAACCCCACTGCCCATACCATGTTACGCCTGGGCCTGCACCCCATGACATCACGGCCCACACCCTATGACCTCACTGCTCACCCCACTTGACCTCATGCCTACGCCTGACCCCGTGTGACCTCACGCCCACATCATATAACCTCGCTGCCCCATAAATATACACAGCTGTCCAAAGAGTAAACACTGAGGTTCCTTAATCTCCATCCACACGAGCCAGCTACAGGAAAGGTGCTGGCTGGCATCACGAGGCGACAGTGCAAGCCCTCAGATGCACACGGCTCAGCAGACACGTCTGTGCAAGGTCAGAGGCGCTCAGCAGAAAGCCAGGCCTGCCCCAAACAAGACTTCAATCCCTGAAGGGTCAGAATCACAAGACAAATCTCTCGACCTTCCCAGCAGGCGAGCACCCTCCTGAGCAGGCTGGCACCCCTCCCGCCTGCAGAGCCTGAGGGTCGTGAGTCCGAGGACCCGGGTGACACAGCATAACCGAGACCAGAGCCTGGTGACCGGATGTCCTCGAGAAGAGCGCTGGGCACCACGCGCTCCTCTCTGTGCCTGGAGGATCATGTCAGTGTCCGCCAAGCTACTTGCACCCCGTGGATTTCACTTGTATTTTCACTCCAGAAAGTGTTTTCACTGTGTTGGATCTCGTGAACACGAGGGCAGTCAGAGGGAAACACATGACACTATGCTGGTGGGTGTCCCAAGGCTGGGGCGCAAAGGCTCGCCTCGCTGTCACAGCTCCAGTGGAGGCGGGAGGCGGCAGAGCTGCGGGACACGGAGAAGCTGGCGGCATTCTGACTCCATAAGCAGTGACGGCTCCAGGAAGAAATGTCCGGCTGGGCTGCAGTTCTTGCAATGATTAGGTCATTCTCCAGTTCTTTGTGTCAGGCACTCGGGAAGATCCGAAGTGATTTGCAAACCTCAGAACTTGACCTTCAAGCGTGTTCCACATCCTAGGAGCGCTTTAGAAAGGCGAGGGAGTGACTGTCAGAGAAGTCGTAACCTCGTGTGGTGACCAGCGAGGAATAAAGCAGTGACTTGCTGACACACTCTCCAGATGCTGAGGGTGCAGGTGGAGAACAGATGGTAGAGGTTCCCCACAGGACCTGCCGTTGCTCAGCTGCTGCATGTGTTCTTGTGCTCTACCAGTGAACGAGAAAGCAGACTGCAGGACTGGACAGGGCGGGACGTGTGCTCGGCACCAGGGGCAGTGGCTGCTATCACATCGATGTCACTCCTGACAGCCTGGACAGGCTCTCCACGCACCTGTCCTCCATGTATGGGAAGCCAGCAGCTCCTTCACCCTGAGGATCTGGGCCTCCCAGACTCTCCAGGAATGCCCATGTCCTGGTCTCCTGAACACAAAGCCAAGAGCCTCTACCTTCTCCTGTCTAACGCCAACACCATGACACACTGTGTGTTTAAATAACCATCTGCAGTTACTGAGCACTTATCTGGTCTAAGTATTGTATACACACTAGCTCACTCATCTGCATAAGAACCTCATGAAGTAGGTACTAAGAACGTCCCCACGCTATAGAGGAGGATACCGAGGTGGCCGGTCCCATGGCTCACTGAAGGTCCCACAGCTGGTGGGCAGAGGGCCAGGCTCACACTCAGGTGGCCTGGCTCAGGTGCCACTGGCCTGCTGGGACACAGCCTGGGGACCCGTCTCCAGCCCTTCTCTTCAAGATAAACAGGTGTTTTGGTGGCAGCGTGAAGAAAGCTCACTAAATACCAGTGAATGAATGAGGTTGTGAGGACATCAAGTGGTGCCTCTGCCGTGGCTTAAAGTCGCTCTTTTGAACATGGGACTTGACGAAGCAGAGGCATGTGGGAGGCACTGCCTGCTGGTGACAGGCAGCGTGGAGGTGGGGGTGGCACAGAGGTGAGGCGGCGCTAACCCTGATCTTTCTGTCAAATCTCAGCCTGGCCACTTGTTAGGAAGCTTCCGTGAGCCGTAACAGAAGACCCGGAGCTCTGCAGTCCCGTAGGCTCGGGCCTGAATCCTGACCCTGCCTCAGCCCCTAGACAAGCTGTGGAACCAAGGGAGCCCTTTGTAGGGTCCTGCAGGATGCTGGGAGCTCAGCTGGGGGCACCTCCACGGGGAGGGGACTTCACTGGCTAAGGAGTTACAGTAGCCCGCTCACCTGTCCCAGCCGACTCTCACCTCCATTCCCACAGGGCAGCCACAGCAGTCATTTTCCCAGAACATTTTAAAAGTAGGAATCACCAAAACAAATGACACAGACCCAAATCAGCGGAGGTGTCCTCCTGAGCCACCGAGTGCCTTCTCGTGGTGTGGGAACAAAACACAAGCTCCGCTGGAGCCCTGGCGGGAGCCCTGCTATCTATTCCTCCTAAGATGTCTTCCCGCAGCTGATGCCATGGCTGGCCTGTCTTCAACTCAAAGGCCACATCCTCAGAGAGGCTGCCCCAGGCAGCCACGGCCCTGCAAGGTCACCACCAGCCGTGCTCCCTACCACCAGCCAGGGCCACCTCTCTGCAGAGTCCCTGCCCCGCATGACTGAGGCCCTACGATGCAGTCATGTGACCCCCATCTCCTGTCTGGACTGTAAGGCCCCATGAGGGTGGGCGTGGGGCTGCACCCAGGCCCAGAACTGCTGCGTGAGCACCTAACGTTTATTTGCAGGCGACAAGCGAACAACACCGGAGCAGCTATTCCCCACCGAGAGAATCAGGCGTCAAGATAAAAGTAGTTTGCAGTGAGACATGCGCAGTGCCACTCCCTTATTCCCACTGCCCTGGGCAGACCCCACGGGCTGGGGTGGCACTGGCAGGTGGCTCACTGGACACCTACAGGAGGGTCCCTGAGGCCAGCTCGAGCTGGGCCCAGGAGGTAGGCCCCAGACGGTCAGACTTAAGGGGGATGAGCAAGGGGACAAGAGCGGGGCTTGCAACAGCCGGTCCTCCAGGAGCCCAGAGCAGGAAGCACGGAGGCACGGGAGGGCGCGAGAGGGGCTGGAGCCCCAGCCGGGGAATGGAGGCAGAGCGGCAGTGAGGGTGTGCGAGGGTCACCGAGGGCGGGGACCAGGACCTAGAGGCCTTGCATGCTCTTTCTCCCACGGCAGGGGAAGGGAGGCGTGGGCTGCAGAGCGGGCACCCTCATTCATCTCTGAGCCTGTGCCCACGCAGTGCCGGGCACAGAATAAGCCAAGGGAGCAGGGGCGAGGAACTCTCACAGCCACTGCCCTGTGGGGCCCACCAAGGCCCCTCCCACAGCATGCTTCCTGGCAGGAATTACAGAAAGGCCGCCCCTGTAGACTGAGGCTCATGTGTGCTCACCTGCAGAATCCAAGCAGTCGGCAACGCTGGAGACCTCAAACCTCTGGCCAAGGATGTCGGGATAGGCTTCGAGAAAGTCCACCGTCTTCAGAGGGCTCTGGAAGCAAGCTCCATCTAGGATGCACATTCCAGTGACTTTGGTGGAAGACAGTGACCCCCAACCACAGGGAACCCCAAAACTACAGGGGACCCCCAACCACAGGGACTCTGCAAGGGTGGCCTCCCAAGGCACAGGGAACCCCGGGCCATGGAGTGTGTCTAGAAGGCATGGCCAGCCCAGGAGCTGGAGCCTCTCTGAATGACCCTGCTCCCACCCAGCCCTAGCCTGTCACTGCATATAACATTTTCCTCCTTACCAGGACAGCACAATCAGTGAGGCCAGGAGAACTCAGCCCCACAGCTGAGTCCCAGCCCCCAAGGCACGCCGCCAAAGCCTCACCCCGGACCTGGTGTGCCAGGAGGCCCAGCAGATAGTTGCTGGTCTGCTGCAGCAGGACGTTGTTGTCCCCTTCGTAAGTGCAGTTGGGATCGTTGTCATCTCTGAGGTCACCCAGCCGATTCGCTGCCATGAACCATATCACCATCATTTGGGAAACGGCCCGCCCCGTCTGAACACGCATGAAGCGCTAAGCACACCTTGACCGGAGACGGAGCCCTGACAACCCTGCTTCCCGTCCCGACCCAACTCCCTCTCACCGTGTCACCAAGCCTTGCAGGGCATCTGGCAGGCCCTCCCTGCATGAGGCCCTCCGACAGCTGACTCCCTCGGGGGCTGCCCTATTCCCTCCACTGCTGGATGAGTCCCTTTTTTTACACAAGAAATCTCAACTGTCTGAAGACAACTCACATTTCTCCTGCCCATGAAATAGCCCAACTCGTTTTATAAGGCATGCCTTCCAGACCCTTTCCCTCCTCTGATGAAAAATGCTCTCTCCGGATGTGAGGCTGCGATGGGAGGGGCCCAGCAGAAAAAGGTAGGGGCTCACACTTCCCACACCGTAGGAAACTAGCACCACGTTTTATTCAGACAGAAAATTCCTGTATTTTGAATCAGGGTCTCTGTCACCCAGGCTGGAGTGCAGTGGCATAAGCAAAACTCGCCGCAGCCTCCACCTCCTGGGCTCAGGTGAATCTTCTGTCTCAGCCTCCCCAGTAGCTGGGACACAGACTGCGATTCATGGAGCCGGAGTGTGAGCAGATGTCCTGCTGCAGCCATGTTGCTGGGAGGCTTGTGACCGCCTAGAACGCCTGACCACTTCCCCAACTGGCTGCCAAACCATGCCACTCTTCCCCCACCACGTCACAGTTCAGGCCCTGGGCAGGAAGAGCTGGGAGAGGCCTTGGAGGAAAAACGTGCAACTGACATAACAAACCTAGATCAAGGCCTCGACACTTCCTGTTGGCTGAGGTCTCACTGGCCTCAGCCTGACGTTGGTGTACGTCATGAATCTCGACTCAGTCACTTCTGTCTGCAGCACTGCAAGACTCGATGTTCCCATTGCACTCAAAACCAGAACAAAGCTGAACTATCGACAGCACCACGATGAGTTACATAACAACAAATGAAAACTACCAAGAGCACCGCACAGAGGACAAGACACGTTCACAAGGAACTAGTGTACAGCCATGGTCACCAGGGCAGTAAGTGACAGAGAAGGGGCATGGCGGGAGCAGAGGGGCCGCACGCTGCCCCCCATGCTGTAGCAGGCACAGGCTGGAACCGCAGCGGGACAGGTGGTCACTGAGAGTATGAGCGTAATTATCTGTGGATGGTCCCTGAGCCATTCAGCGCTAGCAGGAGCCCCACTGTGCTTCTGCAGGGCCACAGAGCTTCTGCCCATCCTGTGGTTGTGCGTGGAGCATGTGCGTGGTCTTCTTTGAGTGACTAATTTTATCCATTTAAGATTAGCACACAGGCAGTTTTGCAGAAAGGCTGCAAATGACAATGATGATAACTTCTAGTTATAAAGATAACAGCAGATGAAAGTCACTGGGCATATTCTACATGCCAGGCACTGCCTCACACTTTATATGTGTTAACCCACCTAATCCTGGCAAGGGCCTAAGATGTGGTGTGCTTTAAACAAAAAATGAGACGCCCCATTTTTTGTTTAAAGAAACTGAGACACAGCAAGCTGAAACAACCACCACAGTCACAAGGCTGGTGAGGCAGAGCTGGGGGGTTGGAGCCCAGGTTAGCTGGTCATCCACTCTCTCAACCACACACCAGTTGCCTAAATGATAGCCAGTGCCAATCAAACTTTTTTTTCTTCGTTTAAGAATGTCCCCAACGTGGGTAACACAGCGAGACCTATCTTTACCAAAAAATTATTAGCCGGGTATGGTGGCACACACCTTCAATCTCAGTTACTGGAGAGACTGAGACAGAAGGATTGCCTGATCCTAGGAGGTCGAGGCTGTGGTGAGCTGTGACTGTGCCACTGTACCCCAGCCTGGGTGACAGAGTGAGACTCCAACTGAAAAAAAAAAAAATGCCGTCTGAATAAAACTCGGTGCTAGTTTACCACCAAGTCGTTAACCAAAAAGTGACAATTCGAATAAATGGAGAGCCTGCTCTCTGCTCTGGGCTTCATGGGCTCCTGCATACTTCGTCATGATCCCCAAATTTTGACCAAGAAGCTTCGAGTGTCAGAAAGCAGCAGCATCTGTCTAGGGCAGGGGCGAGCAAACTTCTCTCCTGTCATGGGACAGAGACTAAATAATCGGGGCTTTGTGAGCCATTTGGTCTCTGCCGCTGCTGCGATGACTTAGCTCTGCCATTGCAGTGCAACAACAGCACAGAAAACGGACAGATCAGTAAGTGTGACTGTGTTCCAATAAAACTTTATTTACAGACAGGTGGCAGGCTGGACTGGGCATCCAGCCAGTTTGCTGACCCCTGGTCTAGAGTCAAGTGGCAGGGCTGAGGACAGGAAACCAGCGCACACATCTCCAGAACCTACTGGCCAGATAGCCGTGTCCTCCACATGCCTCCCGGCACTCCTGAATTCCTTGCTGGGCCATCCATGAGGCCAGGGGCTTGCCGGCCGACGCCAGGGCATGGATCTCACGTCCGAGCTCTGCCTTTGGGTGAGGGAATCCAACAAGAACAGGTGAAAAGGCACCTCCGACACCAAAGTCAGGGGTGAGTTTCAGCCCGAGTAGGAGAGGGTTGCATCCCCCAAGTCTAATCCAAGACACCCTGACAACTGCAGACAAGGAAGCCCAATTTTAACGAAGAATGGATACCCCCCATGACACTCACACAATTTCACTGCAATGACAACAGACCACAGCTCTGCCAGCAAATACCTCTCAAGGACATGGCGTAGGTCCCAGAAGCAAACTGCAGAATATGCATGACGGCCTGGTTTACACAAAGCTCACAAGGGTAAAATGAGCACGTTGGAGGCTACAATCATTGGTGGTGTGTCTGAAGACAGGCCAGGGAGTAGGACCCGGTCCTGGAGGTGGTGCTTCCTCCCAGGAGAGGGAGGAGCCGGCACTGGCCAGATCTCTGAGGCTGAGGTGAACTGACAGTCTGCGCGACATGAGTGCCCACATGGCATTCTCCCTTGTGGCCAACACATGCTTTTTCAAGATTCTTTTGTTGGGAGGCTGAAGCAGGAGGATCACTCAAGCCCAGAAGTTCAAGGCTGCAGGGAGCTATAATTGTCACTGTACTCCAGACTGGCGGACAGAGACCTTATCTCAAAAAAAAAAAAAAAAAAAAGTCCTTTGCTTCTACTTGGTATCTAATAATCAAAACAACTAGAGAAAGAGACATACACTTGCTAAATAAGATGATCCGTTTTACTGGTGTTTTCAGTGTCAGATAAGGGGCTATGTTAGATTCTGCTGTGCCTGGGTGAAATGTCAAGTGCCAGAAAGAGGCATGTCCACACTTTATTAAGAGGAAAACAATGCACATGTCAGCTGGCAGAAGTGGCCATGACTCACGATCAAGGAAGAGCCTGCTTGGCCTCTCTGCTTCTCAGACACGCTCCCTCCTCAGGCCTCTTGGCCTGTGGCTGGCCCTGCAAGGAGCCCTGGGCCACTCCTCCGCCACCCTTGCCTCTTGGCGCCTCAGTGACAACCAGGAGCATTTCGAGATATGTCCGTGTGAAGCAGGTTTCTTCTGATGCCGTCCAGCCCGAAGGGCAGCACTTCCGCCCTGCTTTCCGACGCACTCCTCTTTCTCCATTCACACCTTGACCCAGCTCCAGGGGCAGCAGGAGGGGCCGTGGAAAACCCACTCCTGACCATCCGCAAAGAAGTCAGCCTGGGATTCTCCTTCTGCAGCAGCTAGTCTCAGCGGATGTGCATGCTCTGTTCTGGCACAAATCCTTGCCTGTCAACTCAGATCCAGTCAGCGAGACTCAGACCTTCGTGTGGTTGTTTATGAAGGGCTCAGAACCATGAAATCTACTGAAGGGTGGGTGGTGTGGATTCTGCAAAACCATCATGTGCTCAAAAACGGAACAACAGCTGAACTCACAGGCCAGATTGGGAGCTGTGTCAGCACATCCCTGAGAAACGGAGCGTGGACATGTGTCCACACGGCCCAACACGGGGAGACCGGAGGAGACGTTGTGGGTTCTGTCCCCACAGGCCGGCGTACTGACTGTGTTTGAAATAAAGGCTGAACCGGGCTGTTCAGCCCCCGTGAGACTCAAACAACCCTGCTGCCGAGAAATATGACACCACCTCACCTGCCTGGCACCTCGCTGGAGCTCTATCAGGTCCAGGAAGAGCGACTTGGAGAAGTAGTCCAAGGCGTAGGCAGCCGCCAGGTAGGGAAGCAAGCGCCATTGCTGAAACAAACAGATGCCTGTGTGAACACGGCACAGGCTCTCACGAAGGGCGGCACCTTGGGGACAGTGAAGGCCAGAGCAGGGACAGGGTGTCAGAGCCCTCGTGCCCTGTGAGCTCAAAGGTCTCCATACGTCTTCTGGGCACGTGAGGAAACCTTCACCCTGACTTAGCCAGCCTGGCCATCCCACCCTGGGCAGATGACCTCAGATGCAACACCCTGGAGGCCTCCACTCACAGCTGCCCCATCAAAGTCGCTAAGGAACAGCGCGCCGGCCTACCGGTGAACTAAGAAGGCCAACCTGCTGGGAGTTGACAGCCTGAGCCTCGTGAGCCCAGAAGGGCGCAACAATCACCTGACACAGAGGAGGAAACTGCGGTGCAAACACCGCTGGCAAGTCCTTGGAGGGCAGGAAGTGTGTCTGTTTCATCTTTGCACACCCAGTGCCTGAACGGGACAGGGCACGTTGGTTGTTGGCTGGATGGATAGATGGGAGGAGGGGAAGGGGGAGAGGACCAGCCCAGAAGGAGCCTGGGACACGTCCTCACCGCCACGGTCTAACAAGCGCTGAGTGCTGGGCACACCCTGCCAGCTGCCTTCACATCCTAACTTCCTTAATCCTACACCCACCCTAGGAGGAGGTGTCAGCGTCAGTTCTCACTTACAAATGAGAAGACTAGAGCACAGATAGGTTAAGGACCTTGACCGAGGACACACAGCCAGCTGAGGGGTGAATCTGGATCCTGAGTCCAAGCCCTGCAGCCGCAATGGTTCTCCTGACCACTGAGATGCCCTTGGCACCCAGAACAGTCAGAGGTTCTGTGACCACACATGCACCATAGGAGTGTACGCAGGGGAGAAGGTGTGCCATACAGGCACAACCCAGGACGCTGACTAAAACAGGTTCATGGCCATGGTCAAAGGTTGTCGAAAGAAGCAACCGTGATTCTGTTACAAGGTCCTCGGATTTCACCAGCTATGCCTTTGGTGGTGCAGAGCTTGGTCCAAGACCTGGGCCAGACTGAGCTACTGCACTTCGACTAGAGTCTCCTAGGGAACTGACCCTCAGTTTCCCCATCTGTGAACTGGGAATGATACTCCAGCCACCTGGCTGCAGAGACCAAACACAGAGCATGTAGGGAAGGGTGCCCCACGAGCCCCACAGGAACATTTGCTGTGACAGCAATTTATCGCCCCTTCTGTGTAGTGACGCCCGTGCTCTTCTGGGCTGCGGCCTGAGTTGCACCTGCGCATGCTCCTGGCTGCCTGGTGCCAGCACGTGTCGGGCTTGCGGCCCCTTCTGCTGTGCTCAATACCATCACAATGCACAGGGCTGCACACACAGCTGCTGCTTCTTAAGTGAAATCCTGGGGATCCTTTCTTAGGGAGGGACGAATGTGTCAAAGAGCGTGCCCTGGATGTGCGAGGCCACCACCTGCAGCCTGAGGAGATCTCAGCTGAGCATCGGTGGTGCACACACCTGGTGCCCAGTCTCGTTTCTTCCCATTGTTCTTATTTTGGCTCCTTCGCATGTCTTCCTTTTTAATTAAAAACGTTTACAGAAGCCTCGCTGCCCGAGGGGTTCTGCTCCTGCTAACTGTCCTGTCAACCGCCTTACGTTCCCTGGCCAACTCCCAGTAGCCAAACCGCAACTATCGAAAGAAGCGTATTTGCATGCGCCGTAGAAAGAAAGCGAAGGGTACTTGAAAAGGCTGTACCTGCATCTGGTACTCAAGTACTGGCACCTCCTCCTCCTCGGTTGGTCCAAACTGTCGCCGAGTGGCTGAGAAGCGAAGAGCAATGGCTATGGCCAGCTTCAAGTTCACAACAGACATGCCTATGATGGAGACCCGCCCCGAGGACAGGCCACCCAGGGAGGCGCCAAAGCGCTGCCTGACATCCTGCAGAAGGAAAGCCGATGGTGAGGCGAGCCTGGCCATGTGCACCTTGGACAGCAGCACAGAGGTGAAGGCGTGCTGGTATGCTCACTCGGTGCAGACTGTGCCCAACTGTCCAGGTCCTGTCCCTGGAGTGCTGGGCGCAGGGCAGTGAGGCAGGGCGGACCTGCAGGGGCTACAGGCGCTACTGGTGAATTGTGAATGGAACAGAGGCACTAAAGAGGGGACACCCAGCTCCCTGGGGAAGGGCCACTCCAAACCAAGGGAGTGGCAGAACAGACAGCACTGTGTCTGAGTGCTCCCTCTTCAGGGACCTGCAAACTGTCCCTCCAGAGGTTTTGCCTCTGACCCCGGCACGATTCAGTCATAGCCTGAGCTGCCGGAGGACACGTGGGGAAGTCCGGGCTGAGACCCTCTCTAGCTCCAACAGTCCATCCATAAAATACGCTCCTTTTATTCCCACTCCCCTTGAAGCCCACTCTCCATCAAAGGCAGCCCTTTCAAGGGGCTTGATGAACCACCTATCATTCTTTGTGTGCCTATGAAATGGACAGTTCCTTTGTGTGCACCCAGCTGGAACCTCCCGTTCCATATCTCAGGGCACGTGTTACCATTTTAGCAGTGGCTGCTTCTAAGGCCCGACAGCAGTGCCGTGAGCACACCTGGTCCATGACCCTCACCAGATTACCTGACCATCTTTCCTCCCCTCTCTCTTGCTGCTCCTGCCAGGTCTGTTTCTTTTATGCTTGGGGCCCTTCCTCCAAAGCACTGAGGGATTTGTGTGGCAACCCCCCCCAAAACTCTGTCTGTCTGAGAATATTTCTCTCCTAGGAAGGAGTTTAGCTGTGTTCAAAAAATATATGGTGAGAATTATTTTCTCTCATTGGTGGGAAATAGCATTTCACAGTCTTCTTGCATTCAATGTTGTGCTTGAGAAATCTGAAGTTAAAGTTTTACTCCACTGGAGTCAGACCTAGAAGGTTTCAGAATACTCTCTTCGAAACGCCTCCATTTCCCTACCGCGAGCCTGAGTACCGGGCTCTTCCCCGTCTTCTTTGGTCCCCCCCAGGCTCTTTGCCCTCGGTTCCAAGACAGGATCTCCTCTGTTTCGCCAAACTCTGCCTCATCTTCGTTAACCCTTTCCTAACCAGAAGATAATTCTCCAGCCTCTAGTTCCTTCTCCTGTTATGGTCATCCCCTCCAATGTGCTCTTTCTATCAATTATTTTATTTTTATGTTAATTTTTAACTTATTTTCTATTAATATTTCCACGAGTTAAATGACTTGCTTCATGTTGCTGATCTCTCTCCATGTCTCCTTCTCCTGAATCTCTCTGTCTCGCGCACTTTAAATTCGTGTTCTCCCTGCTCCAGTCAGATAACACGCGTTCTTGGGAGTGTTCTTCCAAAGGGTACATGCTCAGGATACAGCTGACCAGAGGTAAGTTCACAACTTCCCAGGGCCATCAGCTATGACTCGGGCCATCTCTGCCAGGACCACAGTCTTTCCTCTACTCTCAATGAGTTTAGGGGAGTGATGGAGTGAGGTCTGGACACCAGAGAACTCTGTTTGTCACCTCCCCTCTAACCCCTTGGGGAAACAGCACTGGAAGGGGGCAGTTCCCTAGCTGGGACCCCTACGGGGGAATGGACACTCCTGGGTGGCTGGGCCGCCAGTGTCTGTTGTCAGGCTTGGATTCACCCCCTGGCCATCTGCGCAGGTGGTGTGGCTGGCCCAAGAGTCCCCTTCCTAGCTGGGGGACCCAGAACCAGAACCGAGAAAGGTGTCCCCCGGCCATGCTCAGCCCATGTGGCACACACCCAAGCCAGGCCCTGCAGGGCAAGTCGCCTGGAAAGCCCTGCCCACAGACCCCACGAAAACACCGTCCAGTACCTTAAAGGGGCTGACATAGGTTCCCTCGGGAGTGACGTCCCCTGTCTTGTTCAGGAGGTTCTGGCGAGGAATTCTAACCTTGTGGAAAATGGCAAATCTGTATGGGAGAAATCACAGGACTGCTGTTAAAAAGGGCTTCTCTCCTGGGGCTTTTCTTGCCTCCTCCATGGGCAGCTTAAATGGCAGTATAGTCCCCAAGACAAGGAAACCAGCAGAGAGCTCGTGCCTGTGATGCCAACACTTTGAGAGGCCGAGGAAGGAAGACTGTTTGGGGCCAGGAGTTTGAGACTAGCCTGGGCAACACAGCAATAGCCCATTTCTACAAAAAAATTTTTTAGTAGATTAAAAAAACGAAAGTGTGCTGTGTGTGGTAGGTTGTATGTTGCACAGGTTGGCCGTATGCTACACGTATCAATGCCAAGTCCTCACTCCCACTGGCCACAAAGTATGCTCTCTAGGGCATGCTGGGAAGAGAGGCCTGAGCAGGGCTGAGTGTTTCCCACCCACGTACAAGTAAAAACTGCAATATTCAACAGAAGAAACATGTTTTCGAAGACCAGAATCTCCAATTCTCATACTTCGATCTCAAACCAGAACATGATGTGATAACACCAGCAAACTGAGGTTTTAAAACTCTCAGGTCAAACAAGAGAACTTGTATTAGGGCATCGGTGCTCCCAGGGCAAGAAAATTCATTCCTTCTGAACAGCTGAGTACGGAATTACACACACTTCATCACAGATCACGATGGATTAGCTATCAAAGGTATCAGTTATAGTTGTTGGGTCAGAAAAGCCTATTTCACAATAGTCTAGGGAATGAGGCTATGCAGTTATGGATATGACATAAACCATGCAGAGAAAACCCAAAAAACAAACTGAAAAATATCAATAGTTCCTATAGCAACTTGCCTGACGGCTGAGATCCCTCGCAAGGTCTTAGGGAATATTCTTTACTAAGCCACAGAAAACACCTCTGTAGGGACCACACGTGCCAGGGAAGGGGGCAGCTGCTGGAGGGGACGGTGCCTCTTTCCCATCTGCCCATCCTGAACCCCAGAGTGGAGAAGCCCCACCCGTCACCTCGTCCCGAGCCACCTCCAAGCACACGCAGCATCAGCTCCACCTGCGCTGTCCCTTCCACTTACCCCCAGCCCTGCTAGGCTCTGGCGCCCAGATCCCCACTCAGCTTCCTCCCGTCCACGGACTGCACCGTCATCTGCATCGGCTCCTTCCTGCCTCCACCTCCCCATGGGAGCAGGGGCTTTCCAAACTGCCATCAGAAGGGCCCGGCCTTGCGTGCGACTCTCCGGTCCTGTAGAAACCGTAGACAGTCCCCCAGCCGGGCCCTGTCCCTCCTCCAGCAGCACCACCTTCCTGCAGTGTGGCCTGCCCGTCCCACCTGCTCGGGACGCCCCTCTCCACCAGACTCTCTCCAGGCCTCCGGGCCCTCCCGGCATCCTCACCATCAACACCAGGTGGTCCTCGCCATGCAGCTCCACCGCCACCCTTCCCGGGAGGCCCATGATGATTCCCACCCCACCCTGCAACGGGTACAGGGTGGACCTCAGGGAACCCCTAGAGGGTGGTCCTGTTCCGTGGCGACCCTCCGCTGTTGCCATTCCTTGGTGAGCCAGTTTCTTGTCCCAGTTTCCCGGGCTTATTCCTCGGTTACGTCAGGGCCACAGGGCCCAGGACCTTCCTAATAAGAGGCACTGAGTGGCCGTGGGATGAAAAGGAGTGGGGTATGACCTTGTTCTCTGGGGCACTGGGGCCACAACCCTGAGTCCCGGGGACAGCTTGACGAAACAACACAGGGGTGCCTTCCAGCACCCCCAGGGAAAAGCAAGGACCCTGGGAGGAGGACGGGGCTGGAGGAGGCCTCTCCCAAGCTCCTTGGGGAACCGAGGAGATCTGGCGAGGGAGGTACTGCAGTTCCCTCTGCCAGGCCTGGCCCGCACAGGCAAGAGGCAGCCCCTGGTCGTCCCTGCACGAGGTGAGGTCGGCTGCAGACCAGCTCTCAACGGCCCCCGACCTGGGCCTGCCCACGCCGTGCTGCCTCCTCCAGCGCCCGTGCAGGTGGCAGCGTCACTCACAGGGCAGCCACCCATTCAGAATGCCCCATTTTATGAGAAAACCAGCCTCGGTGCCAACACTGGACGTGTTCCAGCCTGTACTTGAAAGCCAAGGAATGCCTTTTCCAGCATGATTCTGCAGCCGAGAGGGCCCTTTTTAAGGAGTGGAAACTCTTCACCCTTTCTCACCACAGATTTGAACAAATATGCATGTATTTATCCTCGCAAAAGCATTCCCTGGAGTGCCACTGAAAGCAAACTCCACACATTCCCTTCTGATCGCTTCTGTTCCACGAAAGTTGTTCCTGAAACAGCCAGATGTGGCCAATGGCTGGGCCAACCTGAAAGCCAGATTGATTTGGTGTCCCCAGTGGGCAGGGGGACGTGGGTGTCACGGTGTGTGTGTTGTGGGTTACGTGTGTGGCACAGGGACACGTGTGTGGCACAGAAGACCCACCATCCTGAGTTCTCAGGCCTCGGCCCTGCTCCCAGGTTCCAGCAGTTTACTTCTTCCCCCGGGGCCGCCAGGCCCAACCCCAAGCCCAGCCCACTGGAGCCTCATGGACTTCCAGCCACTTCGAGGTGGGCCCCAGAGCCTGGAGGCCCTTACCTCAGAGTAACGCCCAGAAAAGTACCTGTAGCCCACCTCAAGGGTCTGGCTTTTCTGAAAACATCACTTGAAAGATCTTCGTTATCTTGCTTTTAGAGCTATTAGGCTAGAAGAAGTTCACATAATCTATGTTTGCCTCTGATTTCTCAGCAAACCACACAGCTGGGCATTCTTATAAAGTGACCAAATCTAACTTATAAACCATAACCACTTTTTTCAAGATAAGTGATCCCAACACTGATGACAAAAAAAAAAATCACTACACTGTAATACGGGCCTTTGAAAAGACAGAGCCCTGGAACACGCAGGCAGAATCCTGGCGGGGAAATCCCACGGAATTCAGGCAAGTTCCTAAAGCCACCGCGAAACTCCAGCACTGCTGCGCCCCCTGCTGGGCACGCCGGACCTGCCAAGCCCGGGAAGAGGCGGGTATTTCGGGGGTACAGGCTGGAGAGCACCCAACGATCTACTCGAGGAAATGACGCAATTTGGTCTGCTGGAGAAAGATGGCACAGGTCTCGGGTGAGATGGCATCAAGTGCCACGCAGGGCATGGGCGTGGCAGGGGCTGTCTTGGTCTGGACCTGAAGACCAGCATCCTTTTGTTAGAGCCGTGTGTTCTGTGTGGGGCTGGGAAGCCATCTGCATTGTGGCTCTGTGAATTGGAGGGTCCCATGTACGCAGTTAGGCCGGCGGGCGTATCCTCCCTGGGCGGGAGGCATTGCTCACTGGCTCCCACTCCAGCACCAGCAAGCTACGGGGCCCTCAAAGGCTCGGGGATTGAATCAGCTTTCTTCCAAGATCCCTGCCTGGTCTCTCGCCTCTGAGCCTGCAGAAAGACAGATAGGCTCCGAGGCACAGGGACTCTGGCCTGATGGCGCAGCTCTGAAATGCTGCATGACACGGTCCTCATTGTCCCTATGGCGAGTTTCAAAAGAGGCTTCATGACATCGATGGGATATGTTATATTTATTTAGAAGGGTCTTAGCCATATCAACGCGATGTACGTATCCTAAGTGGATTGGCAAAACGCTTCTTGGGAAATCAGTCCACCAGGAGACATGTATTCAGTCTCGAGAAACAGGAGTTTACTTGGGAGGATCTGTGATGTCCCAAAATAATATAAAAGATTCTGACTTGAAAAACCAAATGAACAGTGAATGGAGATCCTTGCTCAAACCTGATGCTACCCACTGGATGTGGCAATTCACCACGACCCGCCCGGGGAAGATACACCCGCCGGCCTGACTGTGCACATGGGACCCTCCGATACACAGAACCACAGTGCAGATGGCTTCCCAGTCCCACAGAGAACACATGGATCTAACAAAAGGATGCTGGTCTTCAGGTCCAGACCAAGACAGCCCCTGCCACGCCCAGGCCCTGCATGGCACTTGACGCCATCTCGCCCGAGACCAGGGCCATCTTTCTCCAGCAGATCAGACTGCGTCACTTTCTCGAGTAGGTTGTTGGGGGCTTCCTGCTGCCCTGGTCCTCCACACCTGCCACATGATCACCGTCCCCTGCAAACCCTGAGAAAGTAGTGATCTAAGGGAATTTATGGCTCCAGGTTGGGACGACGCTTCTACCAGCCAAACACAGCACCGACAAGCGGATTCCTTGTGGAAGCCAGTGAGTTCAGAATTCTGTGAGATTGGTGTCAGTTATGAGGGTTTTGTACATGTATGTCTTATTTTGCTTTTTATTTTATTATACATTTATTTATTTACTTATTTATTAGTCAAGGTCTCACTCTGTCACCCAGGCTGGAATGCAGTGGTGCAATCATGGCTCACCACAGCCTCAACCTCCTGGGCTCAGGTGATCCTTTCACCTCAGCCTCAGCTTCGTGGTATTAGGGGATCCTTCCGCCTCAGCCTCCCAAACAGCCGGGACTACAGCCATGCACCATCAAACCTGGCTGACTTTTTTCTTTTCTTTTCTTTTGTAGAGACAAGATCTTGCTACGTTGCCTAGGCTGTTCTCAAACTTCTGGGTTCAAGCAATCATCCTGCCTTGGCCTCCCAGAGTGCTGGGATTATAGGTGTCAGCCACCAAACCTGGCCTTATCTTGCTTTTAAACAATGTCCTTTTACTTTTTTCCCCGATATGACATTGTGCAAAAATTAGTGGTTTCCAGCCTCTAGTACAATCTGGGGCCCTGGCAGAGATTTGAGACACTGTCTCCCTCCTCAGCACCTTCCTCCTGCACCTTGGTCATCCAGACTTTCTAGAAGGAAGAAACAAAAGGAGGCTTCTCCACAGTTGGGACCTTGGAAGCCACCCGGTGCAGCCTCTCTCTGGAAATGGCTCATCTCCTCCTTTATGCCCAACAACCGGTCACGAGAGCCAGTCAGCTCCAACTATGGGAGATGGGCTTCCTCTACTCTCCAGCCTCGTTATGAAGCAGCAAGTCTAGACGGGATGCAAGACCTCGACTCAGGGATGCTCCTGCCTCTAGTGAGAAATCGAGTCCCTGCTTGGCTCAGGGATGCTCTGTCTTGGCCTCCTCTAATGAGAAATCACCTCGTGGGCACAGCGGGGACTAAACCTCACAGGGCAGGCTTCCCGGGAGACGGCGTGTCGAGTCTGCACGCACAGGTGAGGGAGATGACCAGCCCTGGCCTGCTCAGGCAGCCCCATGCAAGGGTCCAGCATGGGACGTCCACCATCACCCACTTTATAGAGGAGGAAACAGGCCAAGAAAGTACGCAAAATAACAAAGTTGAATCCAAATCCATCTGACCCCAGGGTTCACCCGGCTCCCTATGTGGGGTTCTGAAATCCAATCCCTCAAAAGATGCTCGGGACCCCTCGTGAACCGGCTCTCCCCACCCACCCTGCCTGCTCCCCAGCACACTGCCGGGCCTCACAGCCCCCCACCCCCAGCCCTCACCCTGTGCCGTGCCCTCTACCAGGAACACTGCAGAGTCACCAGCCGCCCTCTCCTAACCACACAGGCCGCCCCGAGGCCATCGTGCACTGGCTAGTCTTTCTGGGCTCCGCCCAAGCCAGGCCTTGGCAGCACCAACCCTGTGTCGCAGCTCCTGCCACTGAACCACGTAGATCTCTGTGGGCTGATTAAACAAATAAACCAGGAACACTCTGTCTTCCAAGATGTCACACTAAGATGACCGGAAATGCAAGCCCAGGCCCAGGGTGGCAGCCTTGAACACCGGTCCCTCGAGTTCAGCGTGGACGTGGGCCGAGGCCAATCCCCAGGAAGGTCAGGACACGGCCGAAGGCCTCACGCAGGCGCAGTGGGCCCCGCATCACAGCCACCACCCAGGTGGAGGCCCCACCAGCTACAGGCAAATGCCTGGGTCTGACAGGGAAGCTGGGGCAGAGCGGGTTTCCTGAGGGCTCTGAGGAGGGGGCCTCGGGCTGAGGAGTTTGAGCAGGACACCGCTGTCCACGCAGGGACGAGGCGCACATCTAAGGGCAGGGGACAGCATCGGTGGGCCCAGTGAGATCCCACGAGAGTGGTCATGCAGCCGGGGACTCGGCAGGAAGCACGGTGTTGAGCGGCTCAGTCACTCACCCGTTGTCCAGCCCATTCTGTCCCAGCTTCTTCCCTATGTCGCCGACCATCACCCCTGGCATGGGAAGGAGGGTCTTCGGGTCCCGAATCTGTACAAAGCCACAAACAGCAACACACGGCAACTGTTAGGATTGCACGACCATCAAAAAGAATGTGTTCACAAACCCAAGGGTGGGGCCATGGGCGGCTGTGGGTTACACTGTGTGCTGCAGAAACGTATCCAAGTCCTAAGGCTAGGAACTGGGAACAAGACCTTATCTGGAAATGAGATCTTTGCAAAGGTAGTGAAGTTAAGGATATAGAGACGAGAACATCCTATATTCCCCAGGCAGGCCCTAAACACATGGCACATGCCCTGCGAGTCAGAATAAGAGTGGGCATGGAGAAGAGGAGGCGGCCACATGGACAGGGAGGCAAAGTGGAGCACTGCAGCCACAAGCCAAGCAATGCCTGGGGCCACCAGGAGCTGGAAGGGACAGGAAGGATCCTCCCTAGAGCCCCCAGAGGGAGCGCGGCTCTGAAGACACCTCGATTCCAGACTCCAGCCTCCAGAATGGAAAAGTCAGCTGATGTTGTCTCAAGCCCACCAGCTGCGAGAGATGAACACAGGGGCTGCTAGGCACCCCCTGCCTGGAGAACATCAGGACCCTTGTATCCATATCGCAGATACAGAACTTTCTGCTGGGTTTTAATAAAGTGACAAAATGGCTGAGCACATATGTGCAGTAAGAGAAACAGCTGAGATTGCTCTGGTGAATCTCTACTCCTCAAAACACGGATCCAGCCAGCTGATGGCGCACCGTGGGAGCTCCAGGGAGGGATATGGTTTACTCCTTGGACGCTGCTACAGGGGTTTCTCTCCCAGGAGTGCTGCCACAGACCCAAGGGCGGGATCCCTCCTTCCCTGCCTGGGGACACTGGGTGATGTGTGGAGAAACTCTGGCTGTCCTACTGGAGGGGGGCTGTGGCACCAAGTGGGGAGATGCCAGGGTGCTGCAGCCATGCTGGAGCAAAGGGTGCCTCCCAGAGCCCAGCCCAGCTGTCAGCGGTGCCCGAGTGGACAAACCTGCCTTAGAGAAATGTGGAGCCAGTACTACTGGGAACGTAGTTATTTGTGTGAATCAGGAGCTTTTGTTTATTTCCATGAAGCAGCCAACTGACCTAGCTGAACTTTAAAATAAAGATACTTAAACTTTAAAAAGGGCTGAAATTCAAGTGCAAAACATCTTTTCCTCTGTCTAAAATCTCTCAATAAGGCTCAGTAAAGATTCAGACACAGATTTTCTAAGACCTTTTGAAACAGATACTATAAAAAAGTTAAACTTGTTGGGCACCACGTTCACCACTTGGGGGGGGTGGCGGGTTCATCAGAAGCCCAGACCTTGTCTTCACAATGGAACGAATCTGCCATGGACCCCATGACTCTAAAAATTTTTTTAAAAAGTAAAAGAAGGTAGAAATGCAGAGGAGACACATATACCAAAAGAGCTGGTAATTTCCAAGTAAACAGGAAATCACTGCTATTGCAAGTTCTCAGTTTATCCAGAAATAAATGTTGTTATTATAAATACCAGTATGCTTCTTGAATCAAAGAAAGAATTCTAAACCCAAAAGCAGAAATGGTTAATGTCATACTAATCTCAAAATGCTGACTTGTGTCAATTAACATCCAACATTTCCCACCTCCTTAGAGACTGCCGACCTGATGTGACACAACAAACCTGCAGTAGATGACAGCCTGCCATGTGCCAGCTAAGGGTCCGAAGCATGGACCCCAATCCTAACCAGTCCCTCCCCCATGACTCTAGGAGGGAGGACCTGGGGGCCCTGATCGGCACCAGCACACGGTGGCACTTTGTTGGACAAATGATGAAATCCTATGGTGTATTTTTAGCATAACTTATAGAGAGTCTAAAACATGTGGCTCTACAGTCTAAAGATCAGACACACGGAAAGCAGAACTGCAGTCCAGGCAACTTCCATATGGCATGCACCCCAGGTATCAGAAACAGGAATAGTAGCTTTAGGTCAAGTAGCTGTGACACTGTACTAAGTATATGGTTGGGCTCTGCCCTTGGTTCCTGGCACGCAGCTCCTAAACTTCTTTATCTCTGGAGTGGTCAGAGTGCCTTAAGTGTGGTCACGAAACAGCTGGCGACTAGGGACCCCTAGACAGCTTCAGAATGTGGCTGGTCGCCCTGAACGACCAAGGCAGGATTAGAGGGTCGGGACTCTCCGCCCTACCCACTGGTCTCCAGGGGCGGGAGGAAGGGAGAGGAGTGAAGCGGGGGAAGGTCAAGGGGATCACCAACGTCCGGGGATGCAATCAGTCAGGCCTCCGCAATGAAGCCTCCACAAATCCAAATGACCCAGGTTCGTGGCTGCTCTCGGAGGGGCTGCACCCAGGGAAGGCACGGAAGGAAGCCCCTCTCCCTCCCACGTTCCCTGCCTGCTCCCCGCATCCCCCATCTCCTCATCTGCACCCTTCACCACCTCCCTTATAAGAAACCCGCCAACGTCAGCAAAGTGCTTCCCTGAGTTCTGTGAGTCCATTAATCCAACCCGAGGCAGATCAAGGGAACCCAGCCTACAGCTAGTCGGTCAGAAGCCCAGGCCCCGACCTGGACCTGTGACCGGTGTCTGAAGCAGGGGCCGTCCTGTGGGACTCGGCCTCACCCTGTGGAGTCTGAGCCATCTCCAGGCGGACGGTGTTGGAACCAAACTGAACAAGAGGGTGCCCAGCTGGTGTCCGCTGGAGCGTCACCCAGTGAGTAGGGAGAAGCCACACATCTGGTGCCAGTACCGTGCTGGCTGTGCAAGAGCAGGCAAACGCTGCTTCCTCCTATATCCTTGCAGCAAAGAAAAAGCGTGTCCGGTCTGCAGTCATTCAAATGTTCAGGTCAAGTGAAAAATAAGGTCATAGGCACCAAGAGGAAAACACAGATAAAGCTGGACTTGACCGCATCCAAGGGCACGATCCAGCAAGCAGCGAGTAAACCAATGGGGTGGGAGGAAGTATCCGCAGTGCGATGTCTGATACCGGCGTCGCATCCAGAACACACAAAGAATACTCGTGGCTCAACAAAAAGACAACCAACTGAAAAAGGAACCAAAAGCCAGGGACCAGACCGCATATAAAAGTTGAATTCCGACCACGTCCACAGCAGCCAACCCAGAGGGCCAAGCAAGGACCCCTGGAGCAGTTGACCCCAGTGGGCCAGCACTTAACGGAGAGCTGCCTTAAGTCTGGTTCCAGTTTTCAACTTAGAACCCACTGGAGAAAGCCAACATGCCCTTTAACCAATCCCACGGGACACCCTCTGGAAAGCCATCTCCAGCCTCTCAGGCCAACAACCTCCATCAGAGCGGCCCTTTCTTCCACTGGGAAGTCGCCCCACTCTCTGTCTTTGAGTGTCAGTGGCCGACACCCTGACCCTATCGAGCAAGCTGACGTTTCTTCACAGAGGTATACAGAGGACCCACTGGCACGGCAAAAGACGTTCGACAGCACTGGGCAGTCACATCATGCAAAGCAAAACCGTCACAGGACAGCGCTTCACACCCGCTGGGGTAGCTATTAAGAAGGGAGAAAAAACAAACAAACAGAAAATGGCAAGAGTTGATATGGATGGGGAGAAACTGCACTCCTCCTACATTGCAAGTGGGAATGTCAAATGCTGCAGCCATGGCAGAAAACAGCATGTAGTCCACCAGAAAGACAGGCATTGTATTCCTACATGATCCAGAAACGCCACTTGGGCATACTCCCAAAAGAACTGAAAACAGGTATTCTAACAGACACTCATTCACAAATATGCACGGCAGCAGTATTCACCATAGACAAAGGTGAAAACAGCCAATGCCCATCACTGGATGAACAGATAACCAAATGGTCTATCCATACAGTGGAACAGTATATAGTCACAAAGAGGAATGAAGGAAGTACTGGTTCATGCTACAACACGAACAAAACTTGAAAACATGATGCTAAGTGAAGAAGCTGGATGCAAAGCCACATATTTCATGACTGTTTTCATGGGAAACGTCCAGAACAGGCAGATCCACAAAAACAAGAAGTCGACTAGTGGTTGCCTGGGGTTGAGGCAGAAGGATTGGCAAGTGACGGCTTAATGGCTACAGGGTGTTTTTCTAGAAAGATAAAAGGATTTGGGAACTAGATAGAAGTGGTGGTTGCATAACACTGTGAATGTACTAAATGCCACTGATTACGTATTTCTAAACAGTAACCAGGCCAGGGTTGCTTGAGCCCAGGAGTTTGAGACCAGCCTAGGGAATGTAGCAAGACCTCATCTCTGCAAAAAATTTTTAAAAAGCTGGGTGTGGTGGTGCGCACCTGCAGTCCCAGCTACTCTGGAGGCAGAGGCAGAAGGATCACCTGAGCCTAGCAAGTCGAGGCTGCCGTGAGCCATGATCAATCACCTGGGTGACAGAGTGAGGAGACTCTGACTCAAAGAACACAGTTAACTGTATGATATGTGAACTTCCCCTCAATTAAAACATAAAGCCGTGGTGGTTTTCTTCTCTCATGAGAGCCTCCCCACCAGAAAAGCCTCACAAAACAAAAATGCCAGAATGGGGTGGGACTTAACTCAGCATCAAGGCTGCCCAGAGAGGAAGGCCCTAGACAAGCTCCCAGTAGCTCCAGGTTTAAGGACCCAGTAGCCCCGTGGGTGGGGTGGGAAGCCCACTGCACACCTGGTCAGGTCATCAGCCCTGGGTACACCCTCAGCCACAACTCTCCTTGTGTGCGGGCCACAGTGGGGATGCCAAGGCAGACGTCACATCAGCACTCCCGAGCCCTCCTCAGACCTCCAAGTAGGAATCCCGGGAGGGTGAGGCCAGGAGACCCAGATCAAGCATCGGAGGCAATGTTGACACAGCCCCAGGGGGACAGGGAGGATGTCAGACAGATGATCTCAGAGGCTGCGGATCTCACAGCCAGGAATGTTGGCCAGGCCCTCTCTACTGTGACACCTGGACACTGGGCCAGATGACCCTTTCTTGGGGGAGGGAGGGGTTTCCGTGTTCTGCAGGATGCTCACTTGAGTCCCTGGGCTCTACTCACTAGATGCCTAAGTGCCCCTGGGGCACACACTGTCCCCGCTGGGGGCTGCCACCGTGTATCACCACGCTGGTGTCCTACCTGCACGATGAAAGGATGCAGCCCATGGCACTGGCCCCCCGGCATGTGCAGCTGAGCAAACACCACTGCGTGTGTAGCCGTCTTGCCCATGTTGCCTATCCAGAATTTGGCAGCTTCAAAATCAGGGGAGTGTATGACGAATTCCTGCCCGAGGGAAAAAAGTGAAAGTTAGAGTCAGCAGCTGACACACACACAGCCTTGCTTTTCCTTTTCACTAGATTCCATTTTCTGTGATCAAAATAGTTGAGACAAGAGTCAAAATTGCTTGCACATTTTACTTCCTGTGTGGCACAGGCAGGTTGTATTTTTTATTTTTATATTTATTTATTTATTTATTTATTTATTTTGAGTCGGAGTCTCACTCTGTCGCCCAGACTGGAGTGCAGTGGCCGCTCCCGGCCACCGCAGCCTCGACCTGCTGGGGCTCCGGCGATCCTTCCGCCTCAGCCTTCCGAGTAGCTGGAACTACAGGCACGCGCTATCACGACCGGCTAATTTTTTGATTTATTGTAGAGATGAGGTCTCGCTGCCCAGGCGGGTCTCGAACCCGCAGGCTCAGGCAACCTACTCACCTCAGCCTCCCAAGGCACGGGCTTATAAGGCTGAGCCACCGAACCCGGCTTAGGCTGTATTTTTTAGACAGAGCATATCTCTGTATCTCCTGCCTTAAAAACTTTCTTATGGAAAATGGTGACCAATATTTCTAACAAAACAGATGTAAGATATTCTGTAGGCTGGCAAACTCCCTCATCTTCTCAGAGGCAGTTGCTGATCACACCCTCTAGGGAGAACACCCTGCTGGCATGGCGCCCTCCCACATCCCCCACCCACTTACAGCCCACGACACATAGAGCTGTTCTTTTACTCTGTCTCCCACCGACAAGCTCCAAAACTGAGGTTACACCCCAAATGTCCCCAGCACAAGGCAGGCACTTGGAATGTCAGAGTGAAAGAATCACTGAACAAACGAGATGGGTGGCATCCCAGTGCTCAGTGCCTGGCTAGAAGGGGTGTGGACAGATCACGCGTGAGCACGGCAGGTGCTCAGTGAGTCCAGAGAAGAATAGTGAGTCCGGAGAAGAACAGCAGAGGCCAGCAGGCAGGAGTCAGGCTGCTGGGCCTGCCCCGGCATCCAACGGGAGGTCTGCAAGTGAGGCGGGAGGGGAGATCACAGACACCCAAAGGCAGGACTGCATGATGCGAGTGGGATTGGAGCCAGACAGAGGGGCGTCTGCAGGTAAAGAGATAGTATGTGACCTGCACAGCTGCCCGGGCCACCTCAGCTGCCGGCATCTATGCCATGCTCGAGTTTTCACTGCTGGGGGCTGTCGTGGGTGAGTTCTGGTTCCGGGTTCCATCTCCTGCAGGGTAGGAAGCTGCAAACAATGACCCCAGGAGGATTTCCCTCCATACCCTGCAGTGGGTGTGACTTTATAAACCAAGAGTAGCGAGCAATTATCTCAGAGACACTGAAATTTCACTGGAGGCGGGGGCTAGGTAGGGGCATGTTGACCATGCCTTCTGCAATCTTCTCTCAGTGACAGCTGAGGTGAGGGGGGGCACCCCAGCCTCAGCCCTCCCTGCCCTCTCCTCAGCACACAGCAGTTCCAATACCTCCACCCTGTTACCCATCCTCTGCAGGTGCAGGTGTGCAGGCTCAGAGCCCCAGCCCACACCAGCTCTTGGGGCCGTGGCTCCACGCAGATCTTCACGACTCAGCCTGTCCCTGCAGCTGCCCTCCCTGCAACCGCCATGCCATCCGTGTCCCCTGGAGGGCCTCCCCGGCACCTGGTCCACCTCACTCTCCCTGCTTGTGCCAGTGTCTCCCTCTAGCCCACGACCGCAGAGGCTTGTCAGCCATGCTCACTGCTTCCTGCCTCCTCTGGAAAGCGATGTCTCGCACACAGCAGGTGCTCAGCAATGTCTGCTGTGTAGACAAGGGCACAGCCAGCAGCTCAACCAGGCTCCTGGGTGCCTCACCTCCATGTATCTGATGTCACGCTCCAATCTTCACTTAGGGGCCAGATGCCAGGAGCAGGAAGAAATGAGAACTGCTCTTTGCAAACAGAGCGGAACCAACTCTTTGACTTCTGCTGGGTGCTGGGACACAGCCACACACACGTCATGCCCAGCCCTGAGCCACCTGGGCCCTGTGCTCCCTCTACCAGTCAGAAACGGCCCCATCTCCTGGCAATGCAGGGCCACAGTACTGGAGACAGCAGGAGGAAATGGGGCCACGGGCCGGAAAGACTGCATTCAGACAAAGATACCTTGGGATTTAAAAAATAAAAACCCACTGGGTGCAGCGGCTCATGCCTGTAATCCCAGCACTTTGGGAAGCTGGGGTGGGAGGACTGCTCGAGGCCAGGAGTTTGGGACCAACCTGAGCAACACAGTGAGACTCCATCTCTGCCAAAAAAAAAAAATTAGCCAGGTGTGGTGGTACATGCCTACAGTCCCAGCTACTCAGGAGGCTGAGGTGGGAGGGTTACTTGAGCCTTGGGAGTTAAGGCTGCAGTGAGCCGTGACTGTGCCACTGCTCTCTAGCCTGGGTAACGGAGGGAGACTGTGTCTCAAAAAATTAAAATGAAAGTCCAAGAGGGCCAGTGTGCAGCTTTCTCTCAGCCCCACTCTGATGGGGATCCTTGACGGCCTCCCCAGACCCCCCACGGGAGCCCACACCGCTCCACACAGGGACTGTCTCCGACTGTTCCCTGCCCGGCCTGGGGGCTCCACTTGGGTTTCCTTCTGTGTTCCTCCATGCGTCCCCTAGACACAGAGTCCACACTCAGCCTGTGTTGTTGGACAAACAGATGAATGGATGATGAACAAGCACATACATGGGCACAGAGCTTTACATCCTGCCGCACGGAGCTCTTCCGCCCAGCTCCACCGGGGGAAAGGCGGAAGGCTCCCAAACCCCCAGGCCGGGGAGGAGAGAGGCAGGTAGACACGGGCCTCAGGGACGGCAGAGGCCAAGGAGAGCGGGACCGCAGAGAGCCAGAGCAGGGCGCGTGAGGGGGAGGGCCGCCCCTCCCCCTCTCTCTGGCTGCCCTGTGCCCCCCACAGCACTTCTGACGTGGCCTGTCACCCTCTGCCACACGGGGACACTCCTAGAGCACGAGGGCCGACCCGCGGGTTCATGGTGCCCTTGGGCAGACGGCAGCGCCTGCACTGGCAGCACTCAGTGGAGACGCCAGGCAGTGGCACAGACCAGACGCCTCAGAAAGATCAAAGACCAGGGGAGCCAGACTGACAGAGCCCGGCCCCGGGCACGCAGGCGGCTATGAAGGAGTGAGGGTGGAGGGGCCCGCATTTCCACATGGGTCCCTACGCAGAGCATGACAATCTGAAGGGTCTACAGGTTGGAAGTGGGAGTGCAAGCCTGTAACCCCAGCACTTTGGGAGGCTGAGGCGGGACAGCACTTGAGTCCGGGGATCGGAGGCCACAGTGAGCTATGACTCACTGCACTCCCACCTGGGTGACAGGGCAAGACCCCACCTCAAAAAAAGAAAAGAAAATGGACAGCTTGCGAATCCACTACCAACAGGCTGCCTGGAAAACAAAGCCACACGTTTTACAAGATGAGCACTTCCGCACCACACTCACATTACACACAAATCCCACCCATGGCGCGTTCTTGGTAAATTTCACAGGGGGCATGGGTTTTGCCTCGCAAGCCCTCCTCTCCTGGGCTCTCACTCTCCAGCATGGCGAACCTCAGTGTGTGTTTCACACGCACGCATGCATAAGAACGAGTTTCTGGTTTCGCTTGTTTCTATTCCTGGCGATGTCACGTGCACTCATGATGTTTCATGCACTCTAAGCCCAGAGACTCATGGGAAGATGGCACCTACCTCTGAGCTGGGGTCGTAGTGCGCAGTTGTTCTCATGGCCTTCGTGTTGCTGCCGTGACTCAGTTCGGTCAAAGCAAAACATCCAAAAATCTGAAAGTTGCAGCACAAACGAGAGGAGGCAAGATCAGCTCTTCACACACAGAGCTAAGGGGCCCCACCACCCCTTTCATCTAAGAACTCAGCCAAGGTTCCAAGCCCCAAATCTCCACGACCACTGAGCCCACTAGTGACTGAATGCACCATTCTGTCACACTGGCAGCCAGGCTGTCTGGCTGATGAGGATGCGGCTCACCCATGCGGGCAGCACCTCCCTGAGTCAGCATGGCAGTGAGAATGGCTCAGGTCGGGAGCAGATCGTGGAAGGCATCGGCGTGAACTCACCAGTATTGGGAGCTCAGCGTACCCATGGCAGGTAGAGCTTAGTGCTAACTCTTCAGGCAGAAGCCTGAGAACCCCAGGAACCAAGAAGAGCACGACCACCCCCCACCCTAGGACCCTCTCCTGCAGTCTCCCCTTTGCACAAATCTCTAAGGAGACTGGGTGAGAGAACTGGGCTCACAGCCCACCATGATCCTCACTCACCTCCATAGTGGCGGTCTGTTTAACATATCTGAAATGTCGTTTGGAACCGGAGTTGTAAACTGTTGCTCCAAAAACCTAAAAATACAAGATCATCCCATAAACAGATGCAGCTGAGAAGAGCCCGCTATTCTGGAACTTTACAGTTGACAGGCACCCAACCACCACCTTGCACAGGTTCCCAGCTGCCGCACGCTTCCACAGAGGAGGAGAGTAGGGGCTCTGAGAGGCCAGCTGGCAGTGTGACACCAGAGGCAGGGTCTCCCGACACCCAGCTGCCCAGGGGGACTGAGCCTATACTCGTGAAAAGACCCTGGCCCTTGTGCCAAGCAGTGTATAAACGTTATACACAGACACCTCAGACTTACGATGCCTGAAAGGCATCCAGAGGGTCTGAGAACAGAAGTGGGGGGAAGTGGGGGAATGAGAGTGTGAGGGTATGTATAGAGTAGAACCCACCACCAGTGAACAGTCTCTGCATGGACAGGGCAATGTTGCCATCCCAAGCTCATCTCACCAGCACATGAGAAAGGAAAGCACAAGTTTCTCCATTTCCCCTACTTTTTCTTTCCTATTGGCTTAAAAAAAAAATTTGTACAGATGGGGTCTTGCCAGGCTGCTCAGGCTGGTGTCGAATTCCCGGCCTCAAGCAACCCTCCTGCCTTGGACTCCCAAAGTGCTAGGATTGATTACAGGCAGAAGCCAGGTAACCCGTCTCTCTCTCTCTCTCCCTCTTTTTTGATAAAGCAAAGAAAAATCCCAAAGCTCCTCTTCTTATGGGACTCGGAGCTTCACAGCACTGCATTTTATGTGTGCTGAACAAACTCTGGGAGTCCTGCTTGTCCCAGGAACAGGGCAGCCAGCAGGGTTCAGTGCTGGGGGGTAGCATCCTTCCCCCACTCGCTCACGCCCGTGCTCACCAGCATGTGGAGGAAGTACTTCGTAGCCAGGGACCAGTCATACATCCCCAGGCAGTGAATCAGCGTGGACACTTTCAGAGGATTCTTGAGTATGTCTTCTATGTCAAGGAAGTCATATTCGAAGATCCGTTTGCACCGCAGGAAGTTCAGTTCACGGTACTTGTCCAGGGACAGGCCGGCTCCACGGGAACGGGCGAAGAGCGGGTCGTTCTCCAGAGTTGAGAAGATGGTTTTCTGGAACAGAAGGCAGAGATGGCTTATTTGGAAGCAAAAGATGAATCTGAAGACATTCTGGCTTATAGTGCTATTCAAGGCCACAGGCTCCATGGGACACACAGTTTGGCCTGGGGACACCCGAGAGGAATGCCATTCCCAGCTGACTCGAGAGGGGCTGGAGGCCTGCGACGTGTAAACAACTGGTTCTTGCTCCTGTACAGCTCCTCAGTTCCCTGAGGACCGTGGTGGTTGCACAGAGGAGAGGCCCGGGCTGGTGGCATGGGTCTCGCCCTGCAGGCGAGGAGCTTCCAGAGCCACAAGCCCCATTTTGCCAATGAACTCAGCTGCTCACTCCACAGGGGACCCACTAGCCAGGCCTGCACAGCCACATACCTACCTTAAAGCGGAGTAAGTCCTCGCCTTCTAAGAACAGCGCCAGCTCCTTCCAGCTGAAGGACGCCCGAGCTCGGTAGGCATCAAGGGGCCCCCGGGGGAGATCCGGGAGCAGAGCGTCGTCGCCTCCCCCCACAGTGGGTGCCATCGCGAGGTGTCAACCTGCTCAGACATGTAACCTGTGTCAGTGCATTTCACGCCATGGATTGGTATCACCCGTGAACAAGAGTAAAACCAGCAACGTATTATCAACAAGAGAAAAACAAACCCCGAGTCCAAGGGACAGCAAGAAAGAATCACCACGTGAATAGCTAGCATCCGCTTCACTGTGGCCAGTGCACGTGGTAGCACAACCGAGGCTGCCGGGGCACAGCACGGAGGTTTTGTTGGAGGTTTGTTTTCTGTTGCCACAGCTTTACCTGAGAACACCTCCACCTCTTGGGGGCACCCCGGATGTCCAGACCTACGCTCTAGACTCACCAAACCAGGGGCCAGCACACTTTCCCTCTGGAAGCCAGTCAGTGCTGGCCGGTCCACTCTGGCCACACACAACAGTACCTAGCATCCCCATCCACCCCAAGCCCGCCTGAACATGGGACATCTGGCACAGAACCTCTGGTCACAGGTTTCTGTCCTGGTCTCTCCTCGACATGCAAACATCTGGCTTCCTGCTAACAGCAGGCCTTGCGAAATCCAGCTCTCTCAGCCAAAGAACTTCTCTGGAATTTTCTGAAAAGACCGGGTCCCTCTCCAAGTGCCTCAGCCACTCGAGGCACTGGACAGAGTGGCTTGCGAATCCAGACTCAGGGAGACACAGGAGAGCTGGGTCCCAGGTGTGGACTCCCCAGCTTAACTGTTAAGGCCCAGGAGGGCTTTGAGTCCTTTTCCTTGTAAGGTGAAACAGTCGGGACGCTGGAGCCTGAGCCTGCCCGGTCCCCACTGCCGGGGACACTTTGCCTGTGAGCAGAGGTGGGAACGGCGTGTCTGGGCACCCGCTCAGGGACCAGGGACGCTGCCCTTTATGGACGCGCCTTATTAGCTGCCCCTACAACTGTGAGCCCAGGACAACTGTCCCCGCCGGAAAACGGAAAACGGAAGTTCAGAGAGGCTGTGTCTTCCCAGACCCCCTTCCTCTGAGAACTGGGGAAGAGGATTCGAGCCCAGTACCGTCTGACCCCAAAGTCAGGCCCTTCAAGCACCACCCTGTGACATCAGGAAAAGCAGCACAGGCTAAACCTAAAGCGAGCAGAAGGAAGACAATGATCAAGACTGGAGCAGCACGTGATTGCACAAAACAGAACAATAATAGAGATGATCAACAAAAATAAAAGTTCTTTGAAAAGACGGACAAGATCGGCAATCTTTCAGCTAGACTGACGAAGCAAAAAGAAAGAAAACACAAATTCCTGATCAGGAGGAATCAAAAACAGGACAGTACTGCTAACCTTAAAGAAATAAAAGTGGGCCAGGAGCAGTGACTCACGCCTGTAACCCCAGAACTTTGGGAGGCAGAGATGAGAGGACTGCCTGAGTCTAGGGGTTCAAGATCACCCTGGGCAACTTGGCAAGACCTCATCTCTACAATAAATCAAAAAATAAACTGGGCGAGGTAGTGCACACCTATGGTTCCAGCTATTTTGAAGGCTGAGACAGAAGGATCCCCTGAGCCCAGCAGGTCAAGGCTGTGGTAGTCGTGAGCATGCCATACACTCCAGCCTGGGTGACAAAGTAAGATTCCAACTCAAAAAAAGAAAGAAAGAAAGAAAAATGATCATAAGGGAATATGATGAACTGCAGTATGCCAACAAAATAGATGAAATGGTCAAAATTCCCAGAAAGATACAATCTATCAAAGTGCCTTTCGAGAAACAGAAAATCTTAACAGACCTATGATGAATAAAGAGATTGAATCAACTCAGGGGTTGTCAATTGTGAATCCTGCCAAACATTTAAAAAAGAGTACCGCTTATTCAGACTCTTTCAAAAACATAACATTTTCCAACTCGTTCTACAGACCAGTATTACCTGACATCAAAATCAGACACAGACAGTACAAGAAAACAAAACATAACAAACTAACATCCCTCATGGTACAGATGCAAAAGTTCTTAAGAAAAGTTTGAAACTGAATCCAGCAATATATAAAAATCATTATATATTATGACCAAATGGAATTTATCTCAGGAATGCATGGCTGTTCAACATCTGAAAATCAATTAATGTAACACATCAAACTAATTTTTAAAAAAGACACACAAGAAACATGATCATGTCGATAGATGCAGAAAAAACATGTGACAAAATCCAACACCTAGGCATGATAAAAACTCTTGGCAAACTAGGATTAGAAGGCAACACCATCAACCTGACAAAGAGCATCTAAAGAAAGCCCATAGTGATCATCATACTTAACTGTGAAAAACTAAATGTTTTTCTGCTAAGATCAGGAACAAGACAGCAATGTCCACTCACTTCTTCTATTCAACATTTTCCTGGAGGTTCTAACCAGTGCAATTACATAAGAAAACCAAATAAAAAGTATCCAGATTAGAAACAATTTCTATTTGTAGACATAATCTTGGATACAGAAAAACCCTAAGGAATCCCTATCAGAATTAATAAATTAGTTCAGTAAGTTTGCAAGGCACAAGATCAATATACAAAACTCAATTCTATTTCTATGCACTAGCAATGAACAATTCAAAAATAAAATGAAGAAAACAATTCCACTGACAACAGCAGCATGAAATAAAATATTTAGGAATAAATTCAACAGAAGTGTAAAACTTGTACTCTGAAAACTTTTACAAAATTGAAAGACTTTCAAGACCGAAATAAATGAAAAGATATCCATATTCGTGATCAGAAGACCTAACATTAAAGCAGCAATACTTTCCAAATGATCTACAGATTCAATGTAATCCCCATCAAAATTCTAGCTAGTTTTTTTTTTTTTTTCAGAAATTGAAAAGTCGACCCTAAAATTCATATGAAAATTTAAGGAGCCCAGAAAAACAATCTTGAAAGAACAAAGTTGGAAAAGTCACACTTCCTGATTTCAAAACACTACAAAGTTACAGTAATCAAGACATTGTGGTATTGACATAAAGACGGATTCAATCAATGGAACAGAAATCAGAGTCAGGTAAAAAAGAAAGAAAACACAAATTTCTGATCAGGAGGAATGGAACAGAAATCAGAGTCTAGTCAGGCATGGCAGCTCACACCTATAATCCCAGCTAGCTGGGAGGCCAAAGTGGGAGGATCCCTTGAGGCCAGGAGTTTGAGACTAGCCTGGGCAACATAGTGAGACTCCTGTCCCCAAAAATAAAAAAAAATAAAAAATAAAAGAAGTCAGAGTCCAACAATAAACTCTTATATGTACAGTCAGCCGCTTTTTGATAGGGGTATAAGATCATTAAATGGAGGAAAAAACAGTCTTCTCATCCAAAAGTGTCAGGGCAACTAGAAATCTGCATGCAAACGGAGTTGGACTGTTTCTACAAGTATACAAAAACTAACTCAAAATGGATCACAGGTCTAAGTGTAAGAGCTAACACTGCAAAACTCTTAGAAGAAAACACAGGCCGGGCATGGTGACTCATGCCTGTAATCCCAACACTTGGTGAGGCAGAGGTGAGAGGAATGCCTGAGCTCAGGGGTTCGAGGCCAGCTTGGGTAACTTGGCGAGACTTTATCTCTACAATTAAAAAAAAAAAATCAGCTGGGTTTGGTGGCGCATGCCTGTGGTTCCAGTCACTTGGAAGGCTGAGGCAGAAGGGTCACCTGAGCCCAGCAGGTCGAGGCTGCGGTGGCAGTGAGCTTGCCACTGCACTCCAGCCTGGAGGACAGAGTGAGACTCTGACTCGAAAAAAGGAAAACGCAGGAGTAAATCTTTGTAATCTTAAGTTAGGCAAAGTCTTCTTAGATATGACATCAGAAGCACAAGCAACTAAAGAAAAAGTAGATAAATTATATTTCACCAAAAGTAAAAAACTTTTGCTGAAAAGGACACCATCAAGAATCTTAAAACTCAAAAATAAAAAGACAACCCAATTCAAAGGTGGACAAAGGGTTCAAATAGACATTGCTCCATCAGGGAAATGCAAATTAGCAATACAATGAGATATCACATCCATTAAGACACCCAGGATCAAAAAGATAAAAGCCAGGCGTGGTTGCATGCATGCTCCGGCAGGCCCAGCTACTTGGATGCCGAGGCAGGAGGACTGCTTGAGCCTAGGAGTTCAAGACCATCTTGGGCAACGTAGCAAGACCTCGCCTCTAAAACAAAATAAAATAAAATATATGAGTGATAACAAGTATTGATGAGGATATAGAGAAATCAGACCCTGAGAGGAACGTAAAATAATGCAGCCATTGTGGAGAACGGTTTGGCAGACCCTCAACTGCTTCAACACAGACTAACCACCTAACCAGCAATTCCACTTCAAGCCAGAGTCCAACAATAAACTCTTACGTGTACAGTCAATTGCTTCTTGACAAGGGTGCGATGTATGCGCTCAAGAAAACCGAAAGCAAATCTCCACACAAAAACCTGTTCATGAACGTTTACAGCGGCATTATTCGTAACAGCCGACAGGTGGAAACAACCAGAATGTCCATCAACAGGTGAGTGGACAAACAGATGTGGCAAAGCCATACGATGGAATATTATTCAACCCTACAAAGGAATGAGGTCCTGACACATGCTGCAACGTGGATGAGTCCCGAGGACACCGTAAGTGAAAGAAGCCAGACACAGAAGATCACATATTGTATGATTCCAGTTACACGAAATGTCCAGGATAAGCAAAAATGTGACATGAAATAGATAGCTGCCAGGAGCTGGGAGGCAGAGGGGAGGAAGGAGTAACTCTTAGTGGGCCCAAAGTTTCTTTTTTGGGCGACGGAAATGTTCTGGAATTACACGGTAGTGATGCTTGCACAACTCTGTGAATAGACAAAAACCCACCGAACTGTACACTTTACATGGACGACCGGAATGGTGTGTGAACCATATCTCAATAAAGTAGCTTTAAAGAAAAAAAGTAAGGAACGGCAAGACCAAGGGCTTACACTGCCAGCTACGGTATTCAAGGGAAACTCTGTGTCTTACTGGACTTCCCAGCATGTGGCCCTAATCCTGTTA